TGGATCCTACATTTCCCATAATGAATGAATAAATAAAATCAATGGCGTGTAGCATTACATAATCCTTGATAAATGCCCACGTCTCCATGCTACCAGTTCCTAACATTGGCTGTTATAAATTTGAAGTCTCTCAGCCCAAACTGAGATATCACTATGACATCACCAGGGTTATTTTCTTAGAGCACTCCCTCCAAAGCTGATGAAGACATGATACACAGGTTGGGTAGTAGTCCTTATGACTGCGTGACTTCCTGAAGTAACCTCATGGTGACAAGAAATAGTCCGCTGTGGAAACCCCTGCAAAACCACTAGCAGACCTTTTTTACACTTTAGAGTCTGTAAAGATTATGCAGACCAGGTACAAAGTGTCAGTTAGTGAGCTTTAGAGGTGTTGGTAAGCAGATTTTGTTACCTTTGGATAGAGCCAGGCTAGCTCTTCCCCCCTGTTCTCAGTCCTTTTGCTTAGCTCAGCTAATTGGTTGACTGTGGCTTTATATTTAGGTGAAAGATATAGAGTGGTATCTATCTTCTCATTTAATTTAGAGCAAGAAAGGAGTCAACAGTATTTTTTAAACTATTGCTTTAATCACCATTAATCTGGAGTTTGCCATAACCTGAATGTTTAAGAACCTGTAAAGCTTTGGTGCTTCTGTGTTTTAGAAAGCACAACTGAATGAAAATGACAAGGTAGCATCATTTTAAATCTAGACCATTCAAAAAGCAACACAAGCATCATTGTTTTGTGCTTTTTGGTATGTGAGAGTAGTTGGAGGGACAGACTCCCTCACATACCTTCCCCCCAACCCATTTCATATACCACATACCATTTACACATACCATCAAAGCATAATATCAACTGAAATATTAATATTCAAACTAGATTATCTACAAAACCACACTGTACCATACCATTTAACATTTTAATTGTGCTTTAACACTCCATATTACCAAACAAATGTATAATAATTAACACTCTAATTGCCACATAAACAATTCGGGTACTTTGGGGTCCCTGGGGCCAGCCCTGGTTCTGGACAAATCAGCTACCACACACCTGCAGCTAAATGTTGCTTTCATCCCATTCATTTTGATACTACTGTTGGGGGACAGAAATTTTCAACTTCTACAGTGGCTGTAAACATTTTTTCCTTGCAGCAAAGATTGCAGCACCAATTATGATATGATATCCTCTGAATTTTCCCATTCAACCCTTTTCTGCAAAAACTAATGCTATTGTGTATAGGGGCATGGAGGTAGAGACTCAAGATAAAAAAGTATTCATCATCATTAAACGTGTACAGAGATAAAGTTAATTGGCTAAAGAAAAGGGTATTTTACATCCATTTTATGAAAATTTAAATTACAGTACAATACAATACAAGATAAGAGCATGGTGCTCTGTTTTTTATAGTCAGCACACTCACATTTAAACCATATACACACAAATCTGTATTTTCCATAAGACATACCGTCATTGGCTTCTATTTTCTGCCTCTAAGTGGTGTTCTCATGAATCATAAGAGGCAAACTGAAGGATATACAGTCCACAGAGTGAAGCTCCTCCAGATGACTAGCTTTCAGTCTGAGGAGCTCTGTGGTAACTTCCTCTCAATGTTTAACGTGCAGATCCTCATCTGTTTGATCCCACAACATCATCAAACTCTTATACTTTATGTTTAACTACGCAAGTCCTTTTAAAGACTTGAGGGAAATGGCACTCAACTCAAAAGATGCTCGTAGTGGTTGGGTAGTTTTTGATCAGCCTATTTTTGGGCTTATACACCAGGGAATTTGAGTGACCTGTCAAAGATGTCATTTTCCTACTTATATTTATTTTTCTATAAAAGTTTTCCTGCATAAATGGAAACTGACGCAGTGAGATATCATGCCAAGATGAAGATCAAGGGAACCCATTTGAAAAGAAGACTGTTCTTTTCCCATAATTCCAACATATTCAGAGTTCCCCTCCATTCAGTTTTAAGGTATGTAAAAAATACTCTGGTATTTCTGTTTAACATGGTTTCGCCACATTTAAGGTAAAAATATATATATTTTTTAAACAGGCTGGAAGCACGTCTACTTTTCCTCCCCCATTTAGAAATTCTGGATCTCATTACCTGCCCACTACCACTGCTTGTGCTAGATTGACCGGTGAAAGAACAGTGTGCATCATGATGGCTGCCGTTAAAGGAACCATTGGAGAGATCCAGCTATATAGCACAGCATCAGATGCAGACTCAGATGAGGAGTCTGTTGTGCAACAAAATCAGCCACTAGCAGATGTATCAGCAAGTGTAGTCACTGTTTGTTAGCTTGTTAGCTTGTGACTTGGCTGACACAACATGGTTGTTAAACATGTGATATCTCTATTTCACAAAGCTATTGACTTTTTATGTACCAAATCAAGCTTGCTCGGTTACGTTTGAATCTCACATTTTAAGGAAGTGTGCAGACATCCCCCCCTTCAGTAGAGAAATGTGAAAACACCTCTCTAGTGACAAACTTGCACAGATACAAGTCAGTCAAGTCAAGGTCTGACATTTTAGTGGACATAAACATGAGAAAAGCACATTTTTGAGTGGAGGGGATCTTTAAGGTTACTGAGGGTAAGCAACACTATCTTTGGAGTCTATGTAATTTTTCACATATAGAACCTTTAAAAATGGCTTCTTCCATGTGAGACACAGGAAGGTGTGAAATGTCAATAGACTGAAAAAAAACACCCCACAGAAAGCAATTCCACAGCTGTGGAATTCATGTGCCATCTTTGTTGCTCCAAATGCTGTTAAAATTGTCAGCAAATGCATCACAAAAGGGGGTAAGGGCAAAGAGTGGCAGCAGAAGGAAGAAAAAACAATCCATGTTCTTGAAATCTCTCATATCACATTTCATCGGCAGTCTGCTCCATGTGTTGAGCTGGAGAAAATGGAGAAAGTGGGTTTTTATGGCATACCCCTGTAGAGTAATCAGAAGCAGTGGCTAAGCAGAAGTGACAGCAGCGGTTTGGGATTAGGGTCAGTAGCTGCACACCACTCACTGCTGAGAAAGAGAAAGGATAAGGGGGAGGAGGGGTGTGTGCGCCAGTGGGCAGGAGCCAGCTGGCGGAGGGACGGCCTCGAGGCCTGGGTTAAATTAGAAAGTTTCATTCCCTTACCTATCAGAAATATCACATCTGCAGCTAAGGCTGTTTAACCACCCACTCGCCTGGAAAGGTAGGTGGTGTGGGTTTTGACTCATGTGCAGGACCGCGTTAATTAGCAGGTGTCAGAGGACTTTTTATAAAGTGAAAATTATGGCAAGACCCTATTTCACTCTGGACTCTGCGTGACCTTGCGCTCATTAATGGGATGCTGCAATCAAATGTTAATGCTCCTCTGAGGTTTTGGATAATGTTCGGCTCATAATCAGGGTGCTCGTGTAATGCAGCCATAAATGCTAATATTTGGCTTTCAGTGACACTCGTGATGGGTCTAAATCCTTTTTCAATCAGTTTATTTTGGGACGGAAAAGGCACAAGTTCAAGCAAACCAAAGAGAGTAGACCACTCTGAGATTAGAAACAGCATTGGTATGGTTGGTATTAGATGCTTTTTCCTCCACCGTACTTACCCCACAACCTCTATTAGTCTTTATTTTTGTTATCTATTTTTTATTAAATCAGGTAAGTCCCACTGTGGCACAAACTGAGTCCCTAAAGAAGAAGAATAAACCCTCCTTCTCCTGTCTAATAGACAAGATAGGACAAAATGAGCAAGATAAAGAAAGAGACATATTATTATAGACACAGGAGCAACTGAAACTGCCTCTAAAGAGTCAACATAATGACAGTCTCCAGTACACTCACCCGATAAAACCCTAACAAGTACTTAAAATTCAGTATGACTTGTTGGTTTTTCTATGCAGAGGAGGCAGACTGGAAAAATAACAGATGTCCTCTAGTTTTCAGACAAAGAAATTCAGGAGTGTGATGTGTACATTTTTTGCATTATTATTACCACATCAAGAGATAATGGAGCAGGGTAACTGCATCCCCATGTCCTTAAAAATGAAGAAATTATCAATACATGCAGCAAAGTTTGTCAATGATTATCCACATAGTGACTTTATTTGCAGAACATTAAATGTGCGACTGCCTGGGGTGGAGTGACTTGCTAACAAAGGACAGTGGTGGAAGAAGTATTGAGTGGAGATGTATTGAACATTTTTGTGGGGGAAAAAACATATCAGACACAAATTATTATTACAAGCAGATCATTTTTATATGTTTTAGAACATGTCTGAAGGGGATCTTTAAATGTAGCACTGAGCTGCAGGGCTAGCTACCATGGCCAGCAAATCTGTACCTAAGCACAGTAACAGTTTTATTTAATAGTTTGAATTGAGTTTTTTTCTTTAGTTTTCTCTTTGTTTTGAGGACACATCTACATTTCTAGTTTTTCTTTTCTTTTTACAGAAACCCAAAGTGTTCAAGATTAGTGTCCTTCCTGTCAATCATGACAAACAGGACAGAGCCAGTTATGAGTGGCTGTTGCTGTAGTGTGAATTTCTTAACAAATGTCTTTACTTATGTTCAGTTTTTCAGGTTGTAGGTTATTAAAGTTTTAATTGAATTAATTGTTCCAAACAAAAGCTGGAACTGTGCCTGATATTTTTTTTGAGTAGAGTGTCTAATTTCAACTTGACTTTTGCCATAAACTGTAGATGGACTGAATATTCGTAGTAAAGTCTTACAAGGTTAAAAACACATATAATCCAGCTATTCAACTAAATTTCCTTCTAGTTAGCAGCCCAATTCATTTTTATCACAACTACTTAGATGTTTCAATAGAAAGATAAATAACTTCACTCACAAAATGGTAGATAATGATCCTTCTATACACTATTGCTGAAACTCCAACACCACTGTTACTACTGAAACTACTACCTTCCTACTACCACTGCTTTTCCAGTGAATTACAGACAGCTCAGAGATTTAGCTGAATTTCTTTTTAAACATGAAAATCATTCCACAACGTCTACAGACCAACTACAGTGCAGGACCCTGAACACCCTACGGAAGAATCTCCTGATCCTTTTCAGCAGCTTCCTTTGAGTGTTTCTGGAGTCAGTGGCTGAGACTCCATCAGAGATGACTGTATGTTTGTTAGCTGAAACAGCATCACACAGGTCAGCCGTTGCTAGGGCTGTTGAAGATTCTGTGGAGGCAGGGGTGACCGCAGCTTCATCATCATTAGCTGAACTGACGGCATCATCTATGACTTGATCATATGAGCCACCAGAATCTGAGTATCCACCATTTATGTAAAAAGCAGACAATCTTTCATCACGGGAGCAACTGGGAGCTGAATCTTCCTCCCTTGGACCAGCGTCATTTGACTCTGCTTCATCTGCAGAGGCACTGTCATCAGCTAATCCGGCAGCGTTCTCCGAGGCCTCATTATGATCTGAAACCGTGTCATTTAGGCCAGTCATCATAGGTGCAATTGAAGCATCATCTGAAGAGGAAGTGTGGACATCAGCTGAAACGACAGCACCATCTGAGGCCCCATCATTGGAGCAAACAGCAGGTATGTTTTCCACACCTGAGCAACTGGAAACTGAATCTCTGCTGCTTGATTCAGTGGCAGCAGAGGTTACATGAGCTGTGTCCACCGCAGCTGAATAACCATCATCTACCAGGTCTTCATTAGAGGTTTCTACTGATTCCATGCCTGAAAAGATGCTCATGGGGGTACTTGACGACATCCCACTGGACAAAGAATGACAACAAAGAAAGAAGTGAAAGAATGAACAAATGAGGGCTGTTCATTAAATAACCCATCCACCTATCCACCCACCGATTAGAGTGTTTACCCAAGTAACTAAATGTTCTAACTGTGAAACTTCACTTACTTAGAGCTGGTGTCATCATCATCCAGTTCGCTCGGGGTTAGAAATGGGTGATTCAGAGCTTTGCTTGGCGTTATGCTCTCCTGAGGATTAAAATGCAGCATCATTCTCAGGAGGGTGATGAACATTATCCTCTCCTTCACGTTCTTCTCTGGGAATAGCTGCATTTGGAAACAAAGTCAAAGGTTGTTCAAATGAATATATCTCCTTGCTCATTATTGGTATTAATTATTAACCTACCCTCAGCAGGTCGCTCAGAGAGCTAAACCTGGTTGAGCTGCCACTGTGGTTTTGAGGCGGGATGCCAGTCGCAGCTTTGTACCCGTCAGACATCTAAAACAGCAGAGGGTATATTTGAGATTAATTTTTTTAGTGCAAGTGCAAGAGTTGTGGCCAAATCTAGAAAAGGAGCTTGTCCTCTGGGTGACCGAGAGTCTCCACCATAGCTTTCATCTAGAGAATATGTACATAGAATGACAGCAGCCAAAAGGATATTCAGGTTTGGGTTTCAAAATAAAGCTGTACAGTATATTAGATTACATACCAGGTAATACACCTCTGAGGAAATGGCAAGCTGCCAAGGTACAAGATAACCAAAACAATACCCAAAGACCACATATCGACTGCCTCTGAGATGGGAAGACCCAGGATAACATCAGGAGATCTGGGGGTGGAGCAAGTGTCTATCATTAGAATGTCTTTATGCACAGCCAAAGAAAACCAAAAAATAAAGACGAAAATATCTGTTGGAACACAAAACCCATCTATATCCAACAGCTTGCATGAGTTGTGATGGCTGAACCAAAGTCAATGAGTTTAACTCCGAAGGGGTGTTTTTTTTGGTTCACCAACATGATGTTATGCGGTTTAAAATTAGTATGAATGATACCAACGGTCCTCAGAGACTCAAGAGCGACGAGCAGCTGCAGAGACAGAACAAGAAATAAGGACACTGCATTTGAAAATCTACATGGTTTGGAATTTTGCAGACCATGTGTGTACTTGTTGCAGTTTACATCCTGCTTTCATCTCTGAGTACTGCATTAGATCAACATGTTACCATTGCTCTGTTTGAATTCACATACAGTACCTGTTGTGTATAGTGTTTACCCAAGTAACTAAATGTACTAACTGTGAAACTTCACTTACTTAGAGCTGGTGTCATCATCATCCAGTTCACTCAGGGTTAGAAATGGGTGATTCAGAGCTTTGCTTGGCGTTATGCTCTCCTGAGGATTAAAATGCAGCATCATTCTCAGGAGGGTGATGAACATTATCCTCTCCTTAACGTTCTTCTCTGGGAATAGCTGCATTTGGAAACAAAGTCAAAGGTTGTTCAAATGAATATATCTCCTTGCTCATTATTGGTATTAATTATTAACCTACCCTCAGCAGGTCGCTCAGAGAGCTAAACCTGGTTGAGCTGCCACTGTGGTTTTGAGGCGGGATGCCAGTCGCAGCTTTGTACCCGTCTACATCCTGCTTTCATCTCTGACTACTGCATTAGATCAACATGTTACCATTGCTCTGTTTGAATTCACATACAGTACCTGTTGTGTGACGCCTTGGATTTCCTGAAGAGAGAGCGGTTTGCCACGCCTCGACTTCAGCAACTCATGGAGATTCTTGTCCAGCATTTCGAATGCTAGACAAATGCAGCCATTGTGTTCAAAGCTATCAGAAAAACGAACAATGTTGTCTGGATCGAGACCACAGATCCTTTTGAGCATGGTCAGCTGGAGAGAAAACACAAGATGTTATGCAGATGATACTGCTAAGTAATTAAATGTTGGCTATTCTATGAAATGTACTACTCAAAAACTCAGATGATCTACAACCCTGTTGTGTTCCTGGGACTCACTGACCCTCTTCGTGAGGATCTTGATGGCCACACTTTCTTTGGTTTTTATGTCTTTATACTCAACGACTGCACTAAAGCAGCCATGATGAATAAAAATACAGATTATTTCCAGAACAATACAGACCATATAACACCCTTTTTTATTTAACAGACTGTTGAAAACTGTTCAGTACTGCAACAATGGATTCAAAGTAAATTTGAAAAAAACTTTATTAATGTTTTATTGGCTATGTCTCAAGACTGCCATTCTCACAGAACTGTATATTTTTAAGATCAAGTTTCTCTATTTGAATTGTACTTAGTGCTTATTTAGTACAAGCTGACTCCTCCATTATAGGTTTGGTTTGAGGTTACAGGTACAAAAACCAACATATACATCTCATCTTAACCAAAAATTATTTAGCATTAACTTCATTACAAAAGTTACTGAAGGATATGACAATGTGTTTAGTTCTCTTTCTCACCTGTTTGACTTGAGGTTTCTGGCGATTCCAGGTTTTTCTGTCTCAAAGTTGAAAACGACATGATTGTATTACAAGTTCAAACACTTGAAGTTTCAATTTGTTAGTTTTTTTTCACTTTTTGATTCTGGAATTTTGAGCCAACCAGAATGTGCAACAGTAGTTAAATACAATAATTTTAACTGAAAACAGTGTCACTAACGACCTTGAAACCTAATCATATTCAATTTACAAGAATAGGACACAGAAAAATGTTTGACATTTTTGGCTGATAATAGCTTAAACAAATCATAGTTGTTATTTGATTCGTTTTCTGTCAACCAACTAATCACTTAATCAGTTATTCCAGGACAAAGTTCATTTGTATTTTGCAGCACAAAGGTATTTACTATATTTTTAAAGTTTGGCAAGTTGTGGCTTCTTTTAACTTATTATCCAGTTTTTAAAAACCATGAAGTGCAGAATTTTAATGTTACATTTGAATACTCCTTCAGAAAACGGGTGTGAGACATGTCAAAGAGGGTTCTTAGATCACACTGATCAGAGCAGTGTAGAAACACATGAATGTCAGAGACACACATAAAGGGTCCCATCGGAGCTAAAACACGAGAATTTAATGATGCATTGGTGCAACGTGGGCTGCAGGGAGACTGTAAGAACTGTTATTGGTCTTCTGTGGCAGCTGCACGCTTTTCTTTACATATTTCCACTTGCAGAGGTTGTTTATCGCAAAAGACTAATAACTTCACCAACTTCATCCTGTCTTTCCTCTCGGATTGTAGCAACAAAAAACAATTTCCTTCGAAACAAAAGTTCACCTTTCTCTGTAATGTAAGACAAATTTGCATTTTGTGATATAGCAGAGCCATCCCTATAGTGCAAACCTTCCCCTTGCCATGTCTGTCATTGTCTATGACACAGTGAATAGGGACATGTAAAACTTCACATATACAACAAATACACAGTACTGCCTGATATGCACAACACATCTATCATGTGTTGCAGCAATGCCACAACAGCCAGCGGGTTAAATATCTCTCCGCTTGCAGTGAAATGAACAGCCTAGTAGATATTGGGTGTTTGGATATATGGGATTGGTGGAAACAAATTGGAGCTTTACTATACCACAGTAAACTGAATTGATTTTTGCTTCTATAAATACAGGTAGCCTCAAAGCTTGTTACAACATCCACAATAAAAGCAGTGGAGCTTTTTGTGCCACAGTGCTAGATTTAGTGGTACACGTGTTCGATGTGCCAAAACAGGAGAAAAAAAGAGCCTAACAAAAATTGAGGTAAAGCTTTCAGGGTCCGTGCCAATGGCAGATAGTGAGAGGACTGAGATGCTGATGGAAAGACCATTTATCCTCCTCTGTGAAGATAACAATAAAACAGAGTGATGGCAGGTAAAATTGAGGCCTCATAGTCTCAACGTAGCCTCATTTGTTTGCAGTAATTAGGTGTTTTGACAATTATACATTGATCAGAGTTTCAGTTGTAATTTCCTTGATATGAGCACTGAGAATTATTTGAGATGGTATTGAATTAGAAATAAATGACACTATGTTCTACTGCTGCTTTCAGAACTGATCTTCAAGTGCAGCAGCTAGAGACAAATATCGTGTTTACATTTAAACCGTATCCACCCTCGTGTGTTCTGACCCAGAGAAACAAATCAGTCATCACTTCCGCGTAGGCTGTGTCACCCTCCACTGTTGCCATCTAGACAGCGATCTAAGTGAGATTTGGCAGCCGCTGGGCCGCGCTCTCCTCACCTCGCTGAATCATGATGTATGATGTTTACATAGCCATAAAATCCCCTCCAGAACTGCAATGCTCACTGCTTCCCCTAATTAAGAGCAAGAAGATATAAACATAGACACAACCTCAAACAGCGCAGGCACACACACACAAACACACAGGCGACCAGACACACAATTATTCTAGCATGACTTAACACTCACATAGACACACGGGAGGATCAGTTGTGAGTCATACACAGAAAATGCCCGCACACTCACACAACAGCGAGCGTCAGGTTTCTGGTCTGTAAACATCAGCAAGAACATCTTCAGATGAGACGGAGGCCTCCCCTTGTCTCTTCATACTCAAACACATAATATGAAGTTATTGATCAATATAAATCCTTTAATATTCCCACTCAGATAATACTACCTAGCTGTCTCTTCAATTCATTATGTGGGAATGCAGGAGTCTGGGGACAGTAAAGGCAGGGTTAGTGTTATATTTATATGTTAGGATGGGAAGCTGTTGAGAGGGCTATGATTTTATTGTCAAAGCTTGCAGTGAAGAAGCGTGTGCTGCACAAACAGCTGGTGCAGACATGTCTTCACACACACACACACACACACACACACACACACACGCACGCACGCACACACACACACACACACACACACACACACACACACACTCAAAGGAATAAGTCCAGTTGAAGAGCAGCCCTCTCTAGATTAACTTGTCACTGAAGTTGAGGGCCACAGTCCTCAGGGGTTGTCTTCTCTCTGGGCAGATTTGCCCACTAGCTGCTCCTTGTTATTTAGTGAGCTCTTATCTGCCACTCTGGACACGGGCAAGTCAAACGAGAATGGGCACACATAGCTGCTATCTCCAACACGCTGCAAAAAAAAAAGCACTTGAAGTGGCATTCAATCTCACAGTCTTAATTGGAAAGCAGTAATGTTTCCAACATAGCATGAAAAGAATCTTCAAGAATTTTAGAAATTGGAAATGTATTACATACAAGAAATAATTAAGATTTTCATGTTGCATGGGTAGAGTTTTTTTCAATTAGTATAAAATAAGAAAATCTGATTAAATATGGTGTTAAAATGTTTTTTTTGCAGCTAGGCAATGGTTTCCAGACTTTTTATTTTGTCTGATGTACCTACATATTCTAGATTCAGATTCTACTTGAAGTGGCAGAATTTGGACTTTCAACATTACTTTTAGCTAACGATTTCAACCACTTGTCCATTATTTTTTATTACTTAAACCATTTATCCATTACCTTGAATCCTTTTAGCTAACTGTTTAGACTTCTGTTTGCTGGCTAACTGCTATTCATGCACTCTGAATTACATACATATTGTTCAGGCGTTATAGTGGACTCAAGAGGTTGATATATATTTTTAAATCAAGTTGTAACTTCTATTTTTCCAAAATTAGTTCAGCTACTCCACAATCAATCTTCCCACCCCCTGTCAGCCACCGCCGTAGAACCTCTGGGGTACAAGTACCCTTGGTTGGGAATCACTGCTTTAAGCCACCATGGAGTGACACAGTCTGAATTGAAGTACGTCTCCTCTCAGCTTCAAGAGACAAGAGGTCTGATCGGTGATAAAATACCTCAACAACCCTGAGTTGAAAAACTGTCAACTGCAACCTTGCTTGAAACTGACAGGTGTCTAAAAGCACATGCATGGCTGAGGCATAGTAACAACATTTCAGTGAAAGATGTGCAGCCTGAGTAAAGGTCAAGCTGGATTCACCATCCCATAAGCTGTAGAGGAGCTGTGTTCCAGGTGAAGAATGAATAAAATGAAACAAAGAAATTAGATTCTGACCCACTTTCAGCAGACAGAAGCATTAGGTGGCCTTTGGCTGAAGTGTAAGGATGGATTTAAGGAGTGGCAGGCAGCTGCTACCTTGGACTGGAGTTAGTCTACTGGAATTTACAACCTCTAAAGTAACCAAAACACTACAATTCTTATGTTCAGGTGATTATACACTAATGAAAACATACCTATAAATATTATATTCCATTTCTGCCAATAGAGCCTCCTAAATGTTACACACTGGACCTTAAAATCCTGAAGAATTACAGATGTCGAGAGTGCAATTAAATCAGAATAAATACACACCAAAAACAAACAAACAGAAAAGCACAGAGCACAGTTAAAAGAAGTTTCCCCAAATTTAGCATTTGCATGCAGGACGTCAAGCATTAGCAAATCACTTTAACAAGTCTAATAATGACCATGGCACCAGTTTAAATATGAAGTGATATATGATGACAGGTTGCCAATAAATAGAAACCAATGCCTGTCACGTATTACCGTTAGAGATGCCCACCCAACCTTTTCATTCAAGATGCAATGATGAGTAGAATAACTGTCACCTGTGATAAATCTCAGGGCAGAGTGATAAACTGAATCTAAGGGATGAGTAGTTTTTACAGCTAAAACTAAGTATTTCACAAAAAGAAACTGTACAATGATATCCAATGTCTAAAAATAAATACGGATGTGTGTACAAAGAGTTTGTTATTTATTGTTGCCAACCCTGGTATCATC